TCAATACCAGTAAAATCTATCTCTTTAACTGACAATTTTCATGTAAAATAAAGCCAAACGAACACCCAAAAATACTTTTATTTCAATATTTTTTACGTGGAAAATTATACCAATCAAATACAATAATTTACAATTCCAAGGAAATAAATTTCTAGACAATTCAGTTTTCTGAAATTCGTTTTCAATTCCATCTTTACAATCAAACGGGTCCTAATTGAAGGAAGAGAGAAAAAAAAATAGTTGTATAGAAAAATAATTAAGCAATTTTTTGTCGCCTTTCTTGGCTTTCCTTTTGCACTGAATTGAAACTTTCAAAACCCATGTCTGAAAAAGAAAAACTGAGACCCCCTCCATCTTTTCAAAATCATCATTATTATGGCTTATTTGGCGCAAAACCTCCCAATTTATGACCTTGTTATCAAATACCCCCATCTTTTCAAATTGACGAAAAACTACTTGTATTAACTTTGAAGCATGGAACACCCCCTACCGTCCAATTCCGTTAGTTTAGGCATTAAAGAAGTAAAAATGGTCAAATTTTTTTTTTTATCAAGTATTATTATATCAATTTATTAGTTTGTACATTAAAAGAGAACAAATATTCACAAAAACATGATTAATATTAAGTCCATGTTTGGTAGAAATTAAAATTTTAATTTAAGTTAAAGTCAACAATTAATTTTAACAACACATTTTATGAAATTCACAACTTTTTAACTACAATTTTCATCAATTTTTATCAAAATTTATTAAAAATTTGATTTTAATCCCTCACTAAACAGGAGCTAAATAACATAATAAAGATAAAAAAAAAAACTTTTAAAAATAAAATAATTTATTTTTTTAAAATTAAAATTAAAGAAAAAACAAATAAAAAGGCAGGCATCTAACGGTTTTGATTAAAAAATTGTGTTTCATGTAGCTCCTTCGTTTTAAATGCTTGGAATGAACTACACATTTTTGAAAAGTTTGAAATCTTTATTGCATATTTCCCTTTATGTTAAAAGGCAAGGTTTTCGAAATTTGCTTACAATTAATAACAATCCACAATTACTATTCTTCTCAACGAATAGATTGACGTAGAAGATTGAATCGCATAATTAAAAAACAGGTGGCTATATTGACCCTACAACATTTGTTAGTATCATAATTTAATCTTTATTTATTATCGTACTAATATCTCCCACTTTTTATCCATGTATTCTTATACTCAACTTTTTGACCGTTATTGCATCTTGTCTCTCATGATGGCTTCTGTCAAAAAAATCTATTATGAGGACATAAAAAGACTTATTTGTTCCTTATTTTAAATAAGCAAAAAATTAGAGTTAATTGTTTCAATAATCACCCAACTTATACCATGGCTATGGTTTACTCATTAAATTTCCAAATGTTTCATAGTGCTCTCAAAACTTTGTCCTTTTAAACTCCATCCATCATCTGAAAAGATCCGTTACTTTATTTCCTGGCTTGGCTAACGGAATATGACATAACAAGTTACGGCCATTAAAAAAAAATTACAACTCAGCCAGACTATTTTTTCATTATTCATCTAACTTACACTAGGTGATAGTTTACTCATTGAACTTCAAAATTCTTCCTAATAGTCGCTCATCTTTGAGATACTGCAAACTACCATATGTGAATAGCAACTTTTACGCCCAACTTCTTTAAAATCCAATAAGGCGTCCCTAATTTTTAGCCCTAAAATGCATTACGTTACACTTATTTAGGCTTTTAAATTAGAGTATTTGTTGAATATTTTAATGAATTATGACTTAATATTATATATATTGTGTTTGTTAGATAAAGATCAATGAAATCGATGGAATTGGAAACAATGAATGAGAAAAAGGTGAAATATAGACAAAAATATGATCGAAATACAAAACAATAATTGAAGATCACATATGATCATTTAGATGCAGTTAGAAGTTAAAGCAATAAAATATAGACAACATTTTCACAAATCAATTTACAATTGAACAAATTATGCTTCAGATTTTCAGCTCTAGATTGAAACATATCGTTAAGGACGCTTTATTGGATTTTAAAAAAAGTCCTTGAGGTCGTGGAAATCACGTTTCGTATATAGTGATTTTAGTGAGTTGATAGTTTTGTTGAGTTGTAATTTCTTTTAACATTTGTGGTGAACCAAGTTGAATTTCTGTGTGAACATCAGCAACGAAAGGAACGAAATATGACACATGATGGATGGAATGCAACATCTTAAAGATGAGTAAACATTGGGAACTATTTTGAATTTCGATGGGGTGACCAAGTGTAAGTTGAATGAATAATGAAACAATAGTTTTATTGAATTGTACTTCTTTTTAATGGTTGTTACTTAACACGTCAAATTTCATTAGCCACATTAGCGAATAAGGTAACGAATTCTTTAGGGTGTTGGATGGAGAGCAATTCGATAAAGTTTGATAAGCATTGTGAAGTACTTTGATGTTTAGTGAGTAAACAGAGACAATGATATAAGTTGGGTGATTATTGAAACAATTAACTAAAAAAAAATAATAATAAATACAAAAATTTTAAAAAATATTTGCTCCACACTTTAAACACTCTAATAGAATATTTTGGCAGAAACCGTAATTAGGATAATAATATGTGCTAATTAATTAAAGGCATGCGATAAAAATGCAAAAAAGTTGATGTTAATAAGATAATGAGCCAAGGTCAAAGATATTCATTGCAATAAAATATGTTGCACAAAACAAAAACTGCAGTGTGAATATTATTGCCATTAAAAATTGAACCATGTTTTGCTATCAAAATTAATAGAAAATTGAAACTATTCATATTTACATACAATGTATTGTAACATGGAATGTTATATTGTAAACACAATGTATTACAAAGTAGCATAGAATGTTATTATTTGTAAGATATTATGTTATAACGTGACACAACACGATACATTCTCAATACAGAAAATGCAAAAGCATCATTTATACAAAAAGTTGATAGGAATACACTTCAACATAAACTTCACACAAAGCAAAACCACAAAAATGAATAATTAAAAATTGCAAGGCGCATTTAATTTGTGGATTGTGTCACTTGTTATATGTAATGTAACACGATATGTTACATTGTGACCACGAAGAATTACATTAAATCAGCATGACTATGGGGAATCATCTCATTTTCCAAACTATAATGAGTTTGAACACATTGAGTAATATCAATATCTTAAATAATAACATGCTTAGTGATTATTGACATAAAAGTTTTAGGGTGTTTTGAGATGTTCAACAAAAAATGAATAAATTTGAATTATTTTTGTATTTACAATAAGCCACGTATCATAAATTTGAAAAAAAATTATAACAATCAGAACGATATAAATATCTAACCGTTCTACCAGTAAGGAAGGAAGGGTACTTTGCCCTTGAGATCTATCCAAAGCAAAAGACAGAGGATAGAACTTTTTCCATTCGCACCGTCTTCAAAAAAAAAGAAAAAGAAAAGGGGGTGGTGGGGGATGAGGTTTGGTGACAAATTTATGGGGTTAGGTTCATTCGATAATGATTAAGAAATTACTATGGATTTTGGTTGGAATTAAGCTGAAATATCGATGGAATATGAGAGAACTTGATAGGCAATTTTGGGGATGGTCTGATTTGGGAATGAATCTTCAGCTAAAAAAAGGAATTAGAAAATTATATTTCTAGAACTTTCTGCATGCTTCAATTAAACTTATCTAAGCTTCTAGAAAAAGCATAATGATTCATTTACAGTTTGTTTGTGATGAATTTTATTATTAATATATATACCCACTTGAGAGAATCTGTCTTCCACAAATCATACCTTTCTTCTCTCAGTCAAAAACAGATAATTAAAAAGAAATCATTTGTACCCATTATAACAAAACCACGCCGTTGTTATCATTCCTTTGATCCTTTCTCCATTTCTCAATCCACTTAAATTAGCCACCTTCACTTCTAAGCAAAAGAAATCGTATAATTGACAATTTAAAAAATAAGAAGGTTCATATTAATTTCGAATAACATCTTTCATTACAATAATATTAATAAACAATTTTAAGTAGGTTTAATTTGAAAGATTAGTTTTGAGATTTTCAATTTAACAATGTCGAACTTGACATGTCGACTTGCAAATGACGCTTCAATATAGACTTGATTCTTGAATTAGTTGATATAAAAATACAAGTGAGCTAATCTCGGACTAAGTCGAGCTATGGATCCACTAGTATTACCAAGTTCCATGCTACATCAATCTAACCCATTGGTTTTCATTATTTTTTTCAATTGTCCAAAGATTTTTGTTTTATCTTTTAGTTTTTGGGTAGTAAATCGAGCCGTTCCTCATGGACCGTCGATTTATTCTTCCTGACATGACTTGACTATTATGGTGATTATTCCGTGAATTGGTATGGGAAATAGGACGATAAGTTTCATTTTGATTTTAAGTCAGTATGCTCGATCATAAATCATTTAACCCATTATGATATTATTAACCGATTGATATTTGAATTTTCTTTATCACGAGTTATCAAATGCTTATATTAGTATAATATTTGACATGATCGAAACTTGCTTGACTATGGCTAGCGAGCGACTTGGCCCATTTTCCATTCCTATAAGATAAATGAGATTTATGGGCTTGTTTGAGATACATTATTTTCAAAAAAATACATTTCTCAAAAGTGATTTGACATCATTTCAACCACATATTTTTTAATAAAATAATATTATAAGCAAATCTAAAATTTTTTCTTATTTTTAAATTATATATTTTTCATTGATTTGATATGAATAATGTATTTTTTCTTAAAACGTAGTTCAAACATTATCTTTTTTTGTTAAAACTCGAATAATCAAACATGAAATAAGATAAAAAGGGCAGCGAAAACTGAAAAGAAACGGGAAATGATTAATGAAGTTAATCAAATAAAAGCAATACCAAACTACAAAGGCAGCCTTAAAATGAACAAATCTTTACTCCAGCGGTCGATCTTGTAATTCCTTTTCCTCTTCAAAGTTCAACCACAAAAACACAAAGTTTCAAGTTTTTCAACCCGGCATCGAGTCGGTGAGTCGACTGAGCCCATTGGAAATGGTCAAGAATCGTTGATATACAGCTTCGTGGCTCGTGGCACAGTGGTACTGGCGGAGTTCACCGAGTTCACCGGAAACTTTCCGGCGATTGCAGCTCAGTGCCTGCAGAGATTGCCTTCTTCAAATAATAAGTTTACTTACAATTGTGATCATCATACTTTTAACTTCCTAGTTGAAGATGGCTACGGTAATTTCTCTGATATTTTGTCACCAGTTTTTTATCAAGCTTTTTGCTCTTTGATCTTTCAAGTGTTTGGAGAATTTGAATTTTTTTCTTTGAATTGCAAGTGGTTTTTGTTGGATCTAAGCTAGATATCCAAAAGCTTGGCTCTTTACTGTTATCGCTGTATAGGTGATGCAATTCAAGCAAACACTAGTGGTTTCAAAACTCGATTTTTTTGGGGATTGTAGAGAATTGTATTTAAATCTTTTATTTCATAGTTGTTTTAATTTAGAATAAAATGAAAAAAATCTGAGAGTACATTCTCCAATTGAAGCAAGAAATAAGTTCATGTTCTCTCGTTTCTGTTCTTTAGATGCTCTTTTTCGTGCATTTAAGGTTTTGAGCTTTGTTTGGCTATCTTCTATTAATAATTCTAGGTTATATAGTAGTAGCTAAGGACATTAATATTTTAATGGCCAGTAGAAAATATAGGATTTGGTTTCTTGGGACTTGGATATCATCAGTGCATCAATCTGTAATTTGTAATGACTTTTTGAGGAGAAATATAATTTTTGTAGGTTGTGATTCAACTGATATATAAATGAGAGCATTCTCATGGAAATCTTCTGTTAGGAGTTGTCATAAGCTTCTAAAATCATAACTCGCAAGTGCTTGGCCATCAAGTAAATGCTTAAGCTATCAAACATGGATTTCATACAGTTGGAAGATTGGGAATATTGGCTCATTTAATTTTTTCAGAGAGAAATGCATGTGTAGGCACTTGGAACTCTGATCGTTGTGTGAAGGTATTTTTCCCTCTTTGCTGGATATTCATGTGGATATAGATCAGTTTGTAGATGTATTGGGGTTTTACATAGGAAGATAGGCTTGATGTTCTTGGGCTCGTAATTATGGAGTCATTCAAGATGAGTCGAGAATGATAAAACAATGTAAAGTCTGAACAAATGTTTGAACTAGTTATCTTTACTAGGATGGCGAGCTCAGCTTGTTCAGCAAAAAGTGCAGCCAGTGCTACTCCAGCTTAGCTTGTATTTAAGTTTCTGAGAGCTCTTTTAAGCTTGGCTTGAAAAGAAAACGGAACAGAACAATTTTAAGATTTGTTTTGTGATAAGAAATTGTGGGGTAAGAAAATCCCCAAAAAGTAAAATACTAATTCCGAAGAATAGTTATTAGACCTGCCATGTTCTTATGACTTTGAGTGTTGAGTTGTTATAAGACAAAATATCTAAAATATGAATGTAGTAGAAATGTGGATATGCTAAAATGGATAAGATAAAAACTAAGAATATACACCAAGATGTGGAGGTGGGCACCAATTGATTATAAATTAGAGAAGGATGATTTATGTGGTTCGGACATGTTTTGTTTAGACTTATATTTATAGGAGCGACATGTTCTCAGTACAAAATGTTAGAAGAGGGAGAAGTAGATCAAATCTAATGTGGCATGTTGTAGTTACTGGGGATGTAGTTACTTAACATCTTCAGCAGATCTAGCAATCAACGGAACTTAATGACAATGCAGGATTCATGAATCTGACCCTAAATACTTTGAGAACAAGACTTTGTTGTTTTGTTATTGCTTGTGATATTAAGACGAGCTTGAGCAATCTAAAAGCTTGGTTCAAGAGAGCTCATTTACCACTCTTATTTAGAATGTGAATGTTAGAGTAAATAAACAGGCGTGGGTAATCTTTTATCACACAATATTATTTTGTACTATGTTTTTGTTAGATTCTTTAGATATGCAAATTTTCCTTTAGTAAACTTTTGGTCCTCTAGACTGTGTAGAGAGCATAGAATCCAAAAGTTCTGTCATGGAATTAAAAAAGAGCCAATTAGAACCTCCTCGTCTTTGCTGCACCTTTTTCGCCTATCTCCAATTTTTGAGAAGAAGAAGCGCACCCATGTTCTTTGGATTTCACGGTTGAAATAATTAGCAATGACTCAGTCAAGTGTCAAGTCTGAGGCCCCGACCTGTGTGGCTAAACCTTGAGTCTGAATTTTATCTGTCGTCCATTGGAGGTATGGAGCTTGGAGCTTAGATCAATCATTTGGAAAATATTATGTGACTTTCTTTTTGTTTATTATTCATTGCGTGGATTTGATATTCCAATGATAGGATGTAGATATTTTCCATTGACCAACTGGTGGCTATCTTTGGTAATGATGTCGTGAAAAGCTATGAGCTCGAGTGGGTCATTTCTAGAAGCCGCCTTGAATGTTGGATCCGGTAGTGGCCAAATGAAGTATAGGGCACACTATTGCTTCTATTATTATTAAATCAGTTTTGATAACAGGATTCACAGATTCAGGACCAAAACGTTAACACACTTAGAGCATGTTTGGATAGGCTTAACAATGTTACTTTTAAGTAAACAAGTTGTAGAATAAATAATTTTTTATCGATCAAAGTTGAAAGCATGTAAGTTTCTTATTTTGACAGTAATGTTTGATTTTGTTTCAAAATAAGATTATGTAAAATATCCAAATATATTGGAAACAAAAAGGTACCTGTTTACCCTTTTAAGCATTAACCAAATGTTCATAGGGTAATGTTTCTGGATCGTTTTGTATTTAGTTCTTAATTTAGATATAATTTGATAATTTTGTTCCATTATTTCTTTCATTGTACCCCGCCACTTCTGTCCCTTGTCTCTGCTTTTTATGTGTCATTATCAAAATCAAAGAATAATGTAAAGGTGGTTGCTTCAACTGACCTATTTGCTAAGTCATGCAGCTTATTGTGTTGTCGCCAAAGAATCTGTTGGAAAGCATATCTCATTCACGTTTCTGGACCGTATTAAAACTGATTTCAAGAAAAGATATGGTGGTGGTAAAGCAAGTACAGCAGTTGCCAAAAGTCTCAATAAGGAATTCGGGTATGCTCAAAAATATGTTTTTATAAATCTTTTCTGCATTTGATTACATGTAAACGTTCTCCAAATATGTTATTCGCAGGCCACTTATCAAAGAGCAAATGCAATACACAATAGACCATGCTGATGAGATTGATAAACTATTAAAAGTAAAGGCCCAAGTTTCGCAAGTCAAAAGTATTATGCTGGAGAATATAGATAAGGTATTTACTAGAAACGGAGTCATATCCATGGAATTGGGCTTGTTTCCCGCATTTGGTTGCTTTTACTATTTTTTTTATTTTTTTGCCCCTATGTTCTTGTTACCTTATAGCTCTAATACCTCCTTTTTTCCTCGTGTTCATTACAAAATTTGAAATCTCATGTTTCATGCAGTTTTGCATTTAAAATGTTTATTTTCTCTTATTCCTTCTAAATTGTGAAGTAATAGTTATGTTCTTGATAGTGCCTTCTTACAAAAATATCTTAAAACTTGTGGCATGTTCGCCAAGGATGAGTAGATAGCACTAGATAGTAATAAGCAAGATAAACATGTTAAATAATGTTCAGTTCTATCTAATATCGTGTACTTGACACACTATAATTTTTCAATGGAGCTAAGAAAAACGAAGTAAAAGGGGGAACGAGAACCATGTGTAAAATCTGGGTTGTATTTTAGCAATTACCTTAAGCAATGGGTGGTGATTGTTTATATACAGGACATCCTACAGACAGAATTTATTAGCCTAAAGTATTTGGTCGAATTCACTAAGCAAGCTATGGAATTAAAATTTTTCTTCTATTTATTTACTTATGGTTTAAGCACCGATACTTTGCAGGTCTTTTACATGGTAGCTTTTGTATGTTGTTAAATCCTAATTAACGAAGATTAATTGCCCAACATAATTTGATGTACCCTTATTTTTGTCATGAAAAGTTATTAAAAACTTTTGTCTAATATTATGTAATATTGAAGTGATGTAACAGAACAATTCTTTCAAATGATTTGATAGTTCTTTAAAATAATTTTAATTAATCATGAGTATTTCAGTGCATTTAACGAAGAACAAATGTTATAAATACAAACTTATCTTATTTTAATTGTTGTGGGTCTAGAGTTAGTTATTCATTTCCAACAAAAATTACTTCAATATAGATGGAGATGCTGCACCTAGTTATAAATATGTAATTTTCTGTCAACTGCATGCAAATGAAGCTTCATGGATGTCAAAAGCTCTAACCATAAAACTCGAACTAATTAAAAACAAATCCAGAACTCTGCTCCATACCCTATGTATAGAACAAGCCTGGAGATTCTTCTCTACTGAATGAGCATTTTGTTCGTCATTTTTATTTTATTTTTTCTCATGCTCTCTTTATCATAGAACCGACTAATTAAAATAAGACTTTGATGTTGTGTGGATGCACCTTCAAGGCTGTTGATAGGGGAGAAAACTTAACCATTCTTACCAACAAAGCTAAAGAGCTGCGTGATTCGGTAGGTCAATAGTCCATTGCAGTGACATGTTCGGCTAAGCTTAAAAGTACTTTTATATAATGTAAAAGTAACTTCCTGACTTGCAAGAATGAAGCTCTGAAAGAACGCAACTTCTTTTTAAGCTTAGCCAAGCATGCTATTATCTTAAAATCACATGCACATTCTTTTTGAGCCTCTCTCTCTATCTTTTTCAGGCTAAAGAATTCCAGAAAACGGGGACGCAAGTCCGAAGAAAGATGTGGTATCAGAATATGAAAATAAAGTTGGTCGTGCTCGGAATCGTCCTGCTCCTGGTCCTTATCATCTGGGTTTCCATTTGCCATGGTTTCGATTGCACCAACTAGAGTATATATGCATCCTGTCCGGTCTAATAAAGTGAGTCTTTATTCTCCTCCCTGGATTCAAATTGTACGATTTCATTTGGTGAAGGAGTTCTCTGTCGAACGAGAAATATACTAGCTATTCATACACACTGGATGTCGTCTAAGCTGGGTTTTACGGTGCGTATGTAATTGCTGCAACTGTTTATTCTGAATTTCTTCGAATGTAGACATTCTTTTAAAGATCTATACTAGTGTCGATAGATGATTTTGATATAGCATTCTTGTTAAATTTGTTGCTCATTAATTACTTGACCGAACCATTGTAATGTATAAGTTTTTCTCGAACCACCTCTGCTTAGATGCAACATATTCATTTTTTCTTCCAGAAACATAAGAGTTTTTCAAAAATGGTTAGGGGCAAGACTTATAGATGCAAATTGGCAATATAATGCAGGCCGTTGTTTCGGAGCAGCTAGCGGTTCGTCATTGGTCAGACAGCCTACAAGCTGTTGGTAAAAAAATGCAGATATATTTAAGAGCAAAACAGGAAATTAACAATTATGGTAAATCACTGAAGGATAGACAGAAGAATAGCAAAACGAGGCTTATTTATTATACAATGACCTTAAAATTGATTCATGCACTTATTTTAAGTGCTTGAGATTTTGTTTGAGCATCTCTGTCATGATACAAAGAAATCTGCAGAATTTGAGCACTTCAGTTTCTAGTTAGACGAAATGAACTATAATGAAGACTTTGACTACGGGGCCTTTTTGTTTTCTTTAGCTTTGAAACTGAGGAAAATGATCCAATTATGGACTCTAGGGCTGGGCAAAACTATCGGGCCCGAACCGAACTAAATCGAATCGAGTGATTTTTCTTAAGTTAAATATTCGAACGGATGTCTAAATCGAGAACTAACGGGTTCGATTCGATTTTTGGTTTTAGATCGAGAACCGAATAAGAATCAAATCTTCCTAATTTTTTTAATTAATTTATTTTAAATAGTCAAATTATTTTATTTTTTTAAAAATAAATTTGCTAACTAATTAATTTAGCTCAAAGCCAAAAGTATGATTTTTTCCATTTCTAATTTCCAATCCAAGCACAACTTAATTAAATTGACATAAGTTTTATCCAAATCTGTTATTCTCCTGTAGTGTCGTTTCACCATCTGGAGAAATCGAATTAAAATTCGATAATGCTTCTATTAATTATTGTAAGCTCACTATCTTCTTCTTCCCGTAATTTTAATAATCAAATCTATGAAGAACTTATCAAAGAAAGATGCAAAAAATACATAAGATTGGACTACGTTATTTTGTAAGAGCTAGTTTTGAACATGTCATTAGTTGAATTAATGTAGTTTTGTAAATATTAAAAAAATTAATTATAGTACAGAATCTGGGAACCGAATGAAACCGAACCGAATTGAATCGAATGGAACCGAAATCAAACGGTTCCACTTACTAAATACTCGAAAATTTCGAATCTGGTTCGATTCTCGTTAGAACTGAACCAAACCATGCCCAACCCTAATGGACTCCATGAATGGCGAGGTAATTTCACATACTAATAAGCTATTAGTGCATCTTCAAAAAACTTTTTATATATAAAGAGCATATTTAAATTTAGAAAGTTAAATTTCAATGTATTGCAACAATACTCTTTATTTTGACTCTTCATTTTATTTTTCTGAAGAAATATTTACTGATTTTTCCTTATATTATTTTTAGGCATTAATTCTTTAAAATAAAAAAATTATTCCATATTTAAAAATTTTCTTCAAGACACTCATATGGTTTATTAACCATAAGAGTTTTTTGGGAGTTTCATGAGTTAACATTCGTGCTTGCGGTCTTGCTCGCACACAAATTCAATGGCATGAGGTACTAATTCTCTGTGATTTGCACCCTTTTGCGCACGCAAGTATATGTACTTTATTTGGAAAATTTATTTATTCAATGACTTAAACGGCTTTGCTTTCTAATTATATTCTTAATATATTGTAAAAGTACATAATATGGAAGTACATTTCTTTTCTTGAATGGGAAACGAACAACCATTTTCAAGCATCTTTGTGAAGGAGAGAGGTTTAAAGTACCTAGGATCGAAGAATCTGTCCCTAGCTAGCTTAGTTAACTAAATAATTAATTAGACTAGGTTTGGATAAGCTAAGTTCACTTATATGTAAATGGTAAGTTTTAAAATAAGTAAATATGTGTTAGTATGATAAGAATTAGTTTATAAAAAGTAACTTCTTTTACTAAAAAATAAATTATTGAAATATAAGAAGGCTTTTTAATTTTTTTGCTAGATAATGTTAGTACCTTATTGTTGTGATGTGACCCAAATTCTACTGGGTATTGGAGTCGTATTTGAAGTGGTCTTAGAGATATCAAACCTATGAATCGGGAAAAATTATTGCCACATTTTCGCTAGCTCATTGCTACCTGGACGCAGCAAGCAACACCATCAAATTTTCAACAAAAATCTCTCATTCGCCTGCTGGTTGCGTGCCACTCAAGCGACGGAGCTGTCGCTCGCTACCACTTTAGCGATAGTGTTTTTCGAGTATTCGTGTTTTAACGCATTTGGGCTCCTATTCATCTACAACTTGATTTCTAGGGTTGTATATATATAAGTCACGACTTGTATTGATTCATAACATTTATATAATATCTTGAGAGTTTTATATCTTAGTTGAGAGTGTTAAGATCTTATAAATACAATTGCTATTGATTATAGTAAATTTCTCTTCCTCTGCCCATGATTTTTTTTTAATCTTGGATTTCCACGTAAATCTTTGTGCTCTTTATTTTGTTCTTGATTATTTCATTATTGTCATTATTTGCGATCAATTCACAACAAGTGCTATTAGAGCAATTGTTGATTATTTGCATGGTAAAGATAAAGTTTGATATTGCATTATTGGATCAAAGCACGATATTTATTTTATGGTAAGTGAAGATGCGAGCAATTTTCTCGCAGATTGATTTGGAGAAAGACTTGCTTGGCTTTGATAAGATGCCATCAACCTAGACACAGAATGAAAAGCGGCGTAGGGATCGAAAAGCCCAAATCCAAATTCATCTACATCTATTAAAAAAAATTTCAAATGTTCTCAAGGAGAAAAGTGTCACTGCGTTGTGGTGAAGTTGAAGCAACTTTGTATGACAAAAGGCTTGACTAGGAAGTTACACTTGAAACAATGCTTGTATTCTCATAAGATGTTTGAAGGTGTGTCATTGGATGATCACTCGACTTCGTTAAAAGAAATCGTGGCCAATTTGGAGTTGTTGAAAGTTAAGTATGATGAGGAGGACTTGGCCATTAATCTTGTTGTGTTCACTGTCGCCATCATATGTGACTTTTAGAGATATTATTCTCTGTAGTAGGGACACTCTCACTATGAAAGAGGTCTATGATGCTTTGTTATCTAAGGAGAAGATGAGGTATCTTGTTGGAGGATTTGGGAGTCAGGCGGAATGCTTGGTTGTTTGTGGGAGAAATTAGGATATGAGTTCTGGTAAGAGTATGAGGGACAGACCGAAATCCAGACATGCAGAAAATGTGTGTCATTACTATAAGAAGAAGGGACATATCAGGGCTGATTGCTATTCCTTTAAGTCAGTGGAGGCTGATGTTGTGGAAGATGGGCAAAGTGAAGGAGAGATTCTTGTGAACTCTGATATGGATTCCAGACATTGTGAGGAATGAGTTCTTAACTTGACTTGTATTTTTCATATGTGTCCCAATAAGGATTGGTTTACAATATATAAAAGAGTTTCGAGAAGTACAGTGATTATGGGAAACAATTCGCTTTGCAAAATTGTCGGGGTTGGTACAGTCAAAATCAGAATATTTGATGGTGTTATCAGAATACTTAAAGATGTCAGACATGTTCCAGTACTGAAGTGAAATATCATATCTTTGAGTTCACTTGACTTAAAGGCTTGTAAGTATACTGGTGAAGGTGGGGTCTTGAAGGTGAGTCGAGGCGCTCTTGTTGTTATAAATGGATAAAAAACCTCTATACAACTATATATTTTGTAGGGTTCCACAGTTATGGGAGATGCAGCAGTCTCTGCTTCTTCTTTTTAACCGATGAAGAAATTATAAAGCTTTGACATATGTAACTTGGATATATGAGTGAGAATGGTATGATAGAATTGAGTAGAAGGGCTTCTTGATGGGTAGAAGATCGAGCACTATGTCTTTGGAAATAGAAAAGAATTAGATTCACTACAAGAAGACACAACACGAAAGGAACACTTGAATATATCCATTCAGATCTCTAGGGCTGGCCAGAGTACCTTTAAGATGAGGTACTTATTTCTTGTTAACAGTGATTGATGATTTTTCCAGGAAAGTTTAAGTACTTCTTGAAGCAAAATATTAATGTGTTTTGGATTTTCAAGGAGTGGAAGACAATGATTGAAAAACAGTTTGAAAAGCAGGTTAAACATCTACGCACGGATAATGGGGTTGGAATTTTGTTCAAATAAATTCAATAACTTCTGCAGGGCTGAAGGTATTTTGAGACACTTGACAGTGACTAAAACTTCTCAACATAATGGTGTGGCAAAACGAATGGGTAGAACTTTGATGAAAATGTTCGATTGTATGCTTACAAACTCCGGATTGTCTAAGACTTTTTGAGCTGAAACTGCTAAACAACTTGTTTTCTCATTAATCGCCCACCTTCAACTGCTATTGGGAAAAAGACACTAGAAGAGTTATACTGATTTGAAGATTCTTGGGTGTCCTACTTATGCTCATGTGGATAATGAGAATTTGAAGCTTAGGTCTAGAAAGTATGTCTTTTCTTCGGTATATATCAGGTATGAAGGGATATAAATTGTGGTGTCCTAAGACTAGAAAGGTGATGATTAGTAGATATATAGCATTGGATGAACTTGCTATTGTTCATGGCTCACCTCGTGGGAATTCTGATAAAATTGAGAAACAAAAAATCATTCAACTCAAGTGGAGTTTGAAATTGGTCAAGTAAAAAATCAGAGGTTTCAGAATGGTCTATTTCAGAATAGTCTAGTTCAGAATTGACAAACAGTGATACTTTGCTTACTTTGCCCACTACCAGCAACACCACAGTATTCAATTGCAAAGGATAGAACTTTCAACCTCCACAGAAGTATGGAGAATCAGACTTGCTAGCTTATGCTTTGAATGTGGATGAAAATATTAATTCCACTAAGAAACTTGCTACATATATAGAGAAAGTCAGTTGCAGTGATTCTAGCAAATGATTGATTGCTATGTAGGAGAAGATGGAGTCATTGAATAAAATTCTACTTGGGACATGGTGAAATTACCTAAAGATAAAA